TCGTGGAAGACAATGTTTTTCACGGACCAGCGGGGGGGGGGGGGGGTTCATCATTGGGTCTTTCCCCCTTTTCAAAGAAGCTCTCCAGCGACGTTTGTTTTTTACTCATTGTGCTAGGGGTTAGCTTGTGGGCTTACCAAAACTGTGACTGAGACAAGTGCGCAGTGCGGGAAACAGGCGCGGATGGAAGTGGTAAATAAAATAATGGGGGGGCCACGCGCGGACTCACCGCTCACCTCCTGATGTGCGGCCTGGTTCCTAACAGGCCACGGACCGGTACCGGTCCACGGCCCAAGGGTTGGGGACCCCTGGTGTAAGACACTATGTAATATTTGACACTGAAATCAAGCACAACTACTTTTTGGTCACGTACGTGGTGCCAATCGCCAGACTAGTACAGCCTTTGGAGCGGTTTTGCTAGTTTCACAAGATCCGCCCTGGACTGCCAGATAATGTTGGAAGCCGGATAATTGATGATCTACTGTGTAGTCAAACCTCTCTGTCAGACCCGGGCAGGGTCGGTAAAGAAGGATGTGCTATACTTTCTCTCTCAAAGAGGGAAGTGAAAATAATAGTCATCCACAAAGGCAAATGCAGATCCGACAGTGGTGCAACTACAGGGCGATCTTGCTGTTGTACGCCGACTTTAACACTTTTATATGCATAGTAGGTTTTCGCAAGCAAAATGATCCATAGGCCTACAATCATAACAACACCATTACTCCTATTTAAAACTCAAACAGGAGGAATTTTACACAATTCTGGCTATCGCCTGATGATGCTGGTTGTTGCTGTTGTAATCACCAACGAAATGTAACAGTACTCTAATTGTAAATGTCGTTGCAGGTTTACTCTTCAACACACAACCAGTTAGTGCTGAACTAGTAACTAATTGGCATGTTTTTTTATGTGACAAACTCTTACCGATTGGCTGTGGACGGTGTAATGACACATTTATACGATCTAACCCAAAATGTATTTTATTATGGATAAAACTTTTACTTAAGCTCTGTCGATCAGACTGGATTCCCGACTTCATGGCTTAATAAGAAGTGCCATATGAGCTAGAACGTTTATATCTTTTTTAATGTCAGTCTAGCACGTGTGTAGTGTCGTAGGTCTCTTCTTCCTTCTCGCTCTAGGCTTGTGTGTGTGTGGGTGGCGTGCGTCGCACACACACTCAGTCGGAGACGAGGTAGCCGCAGGAGGCACCGTCCTCCCCATTTTTTGTTGTTGAGTTCACGTCACCAACTCGGGCCACCACTCTCTCACGACCATGCTGCCGCATGACCCGGCCCAGACACGACCCTGTCCGCGTTGCACCGACGGCATCGACAGGGACAACCAACTACTGTCCGACCGCGCAATAATCGGGCGAAGGCAACAGGGACGAAGGCGACGACGACGAGACGAGTCCACTCCCAGAACCGGCAGCCCAGAGCTCTCACTCTCCACTGCTTTTATTCCCCTCGTCGTGGCTTGACTCAACCCTAGCTGCGACTCTCTTCTCGAACCCTCTAGAGTGTTCCAGGGGCTTCCACACGAGGTCTACCATGACCCTTGCCCCAGTTCCTCTGTCCTGCCGGCACACCCGCGTATATGCTCAACGACGTGTGCGCTATGTGCCCACCTGCAGCTGCTGTACAACAGTCAGCGCTATGCCACTACACGTGTATCAGAACAAATCATAGGTGAAGGTCAGGGAAGGGTATACAGGAAGTCATGGGTTCGATCCTGACCTTGACGCCTGCTGTATATTTGGAGTTTGCATGATCTCTCACCCTATGGTCGCGTGGCTTTTTTTCTCTGGGTACTCCAATTTTCCCTCCATATTCAGAATCGACATGAATTTAGAGTATTTGGCTGCTAGAAATGTCCACGTGATAAGCTGCCACTTCATTGATCTATCATTTGTGAGCTATATGTCTCATTGGACCTTACCTGGTAAATACAAAATAGTTCATGGAGTGTAATTTTTGAACCGAGCAACTTCGTTCTAGGCCACCAATGTCTATAAATGGCGAGTGATATCCGAACCGTTCCTGGGCCCATCAGCATGGTCAAACAGTGCATTGACATGGGGGCGGTAAATGTCTTCTTTGGTTTATTGTTATAATCACGACAGGTTACAAAGCTTATATGAGACAACAAGTTAGATACATGGGATTATTATGATGATACGAAAATACACAAGATGCAGGGATAAGCATCCTCCCCCCAGCATAGAAATGTAGAATTTACACAACTGCCTTCAGTGTCAAACAAATAACGCACGCAATATTGTGTGTAGAATATTTTTCGCACCGTACGTAGCCAACCGTGCTAATCTGAGGTGTGTGTGAAAACTAAACTAACTAAACGTTTATTTTGCCAGATAAGGCCCACTTACCTATATAGCTTATTCAGAAGCGACCTGGCCACAAAAGTGGCTTATCATGTGGAAACTTATAACAGCCAAATACTCGAAAAGCGTGATGTTGATTCTAAATAGAGGGAAAAAACGGATGATCTAGAGAAAAATCCACGCAAACACAGGGAAAGAGAGACATGCAAACTGCAAATACACAGGCATCAGGGTCGGGATCGAAACCACGCCCTCCTACATATAAGGCGATGTAGTGCACATATTTGGCTATAGCGCCCCTGTGCCTATGTTAAAAAAGAATCGGCATGTCTTGAGGTAGTGCGTGTGGTGTTCCGGCCTGCACTATAATTCTATTCTGATGGGATTGGGGTTCACTCAACATGTACAGATTTGATTTACCGCCTGAGGTAGGCCAGGTGCTGCACCTCCTCGCTTGTTCCAGTTGTAATCATGGAATGTGCCGTACAATATCACTCTACCACACCTGTAATTTCTTATAATATTCGTTGTATTATTAAATTCACTCAATTACGTTTATTTTATGTAATATTTCTATTTTAATATAACCCCAATGCAGATCACTAAAAAATACAAGATGTAAAGCCATGGGTAATCTATATCCACATTGTGTTCAATTCCAAGGTGGCAACGCTAGGTACGTATGTATCTTGAACTTCTTCCGTATCGTATGTAGCCTACCGTGCTAATCGGTGCGGAGAAAGGACAACAAACTATGGGTCTCTGTGTTAGTCTATAGGTCTCTGTAAGTCTATGAGTTTCTTGTGTGAGTCTATGTGTCTCTTGCGTGAGTCTATGGATCTCTTGTGTGAGTCTATGGGTCTCTTGCGTGAGTCTATGGGTTTCTTGTGTGAGTCTATGGGTCTCTTGTGTGAGTCTATGTGTCTCTTGCGTGAGTCTATGGATCTCTTGTGTGAGTCTGTGTGTCTCTTGCGTGAGTCTATGTGTCTCTTGTGTGAGTCTATGGGTCGCTTGTGTGAGTCTACGTGTCTCTGTGTGAATCTACAGTGAGGGAAAAAAGTATTTGATCCCCTGCTGATTTTGTACGTTTGCCCACTGACAAAGAAATGATCAGTCTATAATTTTAATGGTAGGTTTATTTGAACAGTGAGAGACAGAATAACAACAACAAAATCCAGAAAAACGTATGTCAAAAATTTTATAAATTGATTTGCATTTTAATGAGGGAAATAAATATTTGACCCCTCTGCAAAACATGACTTAGTACTTGGTGGCAAAACCCTTGTTGGCAATCACAGAGGTCAGACGTTTCTTGTAGTTGGCCACCAGGTTTGCACACATCTCAGGATGGATTTTGTCCCACTCCTCTTTGCAGATCTTCTACAAGTCATTAAGGTTTCGAGGCTGACGTTTGGCAACTCGAACCTTCAGCTCCCTCCACAGATTTTCTATGGGATTAAGGTCTGGAGACTGGCTAGGCCACTCCAGGACCTTAATGTGCTTCTTCTTGAGCCACTCCTTTGTTGCCTTGGCCGTGTGTTTTGGGTCATTGTTATGCTGGAATACCCATCCACGACTCATTTTCAATGGCCTGGCTGAGGGAAGGAGGTTCTCACCCAAGATTTGACGGTACATGGCTCCGTCCATCGTCCCTTTGATGCGGTGAAGTTGTCCTGTCCCCTTAGCAGAAAAACACCCCAAAGCGTAATGTTTCCACCTCCATGTTTGACGGTGGGGATGGTGTTCTTGGGGTCCTAGGCAGCATTCCTCCTCCTCCAAACACGGCGAATTGAGTGGATGCCAAAGAGCTCCATTTTGGTTTCATCTGACCACAACACTTTCACCCAGTTGTCCTCTGAATCATTCAGATGTTCATTGGCAAACTTCAGACGGGCATGTATATGTGCTTTCTTAAGCAGGGGGACCTTGCGGGCGCTGCAAGATTTCAGTCCTTCACGGCGTAGTGTGTTGCCAACTGTTTTCTTGGTGAATATGGTCCCAGCTGCCTTGAGATCATTGACAAGATCCTCCCGTGTAGTTCTGGGCTGATTCCTCACCGTTCTCATGATCATTGCAACGCCACGAGGTGAGATCTTGCATGGAGCCCCAGGCCGAGGGAGATTGACAGTTCTTTTGTGTTTCTTCCATTTGCGAATAATCGCACCACCTGTTGTTACCTTCTTACCAAGCTGCTTGGCGATGGTCTTGTAGCCCATTCCAGCCTTGTGTAGGTCTACAATATTGTCCCTGACATCCTTGGAGAGCGCTTTGGTCTTGGCCATGGTGGAGGGTTTGAAATCTGATTGATTGATTGCTTCTGTGAACAGGTGTCTTTTATACAGGTAACAAGCTGAGATTAGGAGCACTCCCTTTAAGAATGTGCTCCGAATCTCAGCTCGTTACCTGTATAAAAGACACCTGGGAGCCAGAAATCTTTCTGATTGAGAGGGGGTCAAATACTTATTTCCCTCATTAAAATGCAAATCAATTTATAACATTTTTGACATGCGTTTTTCTGGATTTAGTTGTTGTTATTCTGTCTCTCACTGTTCAAATAAACCTACCATTAAAATTATAGACTGATAATTATTTTGTCAGTGGGCAAACGTACAAAATCAACCGTGCTAATCCGAGGTTATAAAGAAAAATGCCTTTATCAATCTGATGATGGTGATTTTAAAGCGCAACCCTACTCGCTTATGGCTGGAGAGCTCTTTACAATGATCTGCTTTGCGTGAGGAATATCCGTCAGCTCTATACGGACGATGGACTCTGCGCTGTCCTGCATGTTGGCCGTCACCTTAATGTTCAATTCCTTTTTGTCCTCCACCACGGCGTTGGAGTCCCCCGCTCCTTTCTTGTCGAACGTATCCTCCGTCACCTTCGAGTTGTACATCTCGGTCAGGAGCCTGGCGGATGGTGCGGCCACGTTGGCGAGGTCCTGCAGCTGTATGGCCACCTCTCGGCTGAAGACGCCGCTCGAGTAGGGGTTGCTGAACATGATGTCCAGGCACTTGCTGTTGTCCTTGATGCAGTAGCGCAGGACCCCGTAACAGCCCTTCAGTGACATGTTGAGCTTACGGAAGCCACAGGCTCGCTTCTCACCGGAGATGATTTCTGAGTGTGGGGAGTATTCCTCCACACCAGCATCCAGGAAACATCTAAAGTATGTGAGCAGGGGGTAGGGGGGGAGAGTGTTATGAGTGAAATGGATGTGCATTGTGTTGGTGAGTTAAATGAGGTGGGGGGAGCAGATTCACAGCAGGTGGTGACGAATTTAAGGGCCCAGAAAGTTCCCGAGCAGGTCCAGGTGTAGCGCCAGCTGTTGTGTAGAGAAGTATTATAGAGCGGGCTGTTAACATAGCTCGAGAGGGAGGAGGAAGGGAGCCCAGGAAAGAGTCCCTCTCCAGCAATGCACGACAGCTTATGCGGCGTCAAGGAGGCAGCAGTGACGCAGCAACGAAACTTAACTTGTTTTTACTTTACCAGGTAAGGCCCTGAGCTACATGTATAGCAGCCAATCACTCTAAACGCATGTTGATGGTCAATGTGGAGGGAAAACCCGGAGGATCTGGAGAAAAATCTACGTGAAAACGGAGAGAGAAAGACATGCAAACTAAAAATATACAAGCGTCAGGGTTGGGATTGAACCCACGAACTCCTCCATACTAGACGAGGTAGTTAGCATCTCCTATCCACCGTGGCGACCACATAGAGTGGGTGGGCGTGGCAGTTAGCACGATGCATGAACCCGGCACAGGTCGAGGGATGCCGCACAGAAGTGTGTGTGTTTGTTTGAATGTGCCTAAAGAAGCGAATATCACAGCACTACCTCGGGTCTTTCACGTGACCAACTGGTCTACAATGTTGTGGGGTAGTACTCTCTCACCCGTCCTGCCACAGAAAAATGCCGTTGTCACATTACAGCCACACCAGCAAATGTAATTATAGGAGCTGGAATTTCGGCAAATGAAGTTCAGACCGGAATTAAATGTATTGTTTTGTTGTTGTTGCTGCGTGCAGTCATTAGTCACTAGGCTGGACGCATCGGTTCACTACAAAGGGCAAGCCCACTTTAATCAAAGGCGGCTGAACATTGGATTTGAATCCAGAACCTTAGCGGTGGCAGCTCACCACTATGACCTTCCAAGCCACCCCTACCGGCTAACAACCGCTGTTAGCCAGTACCTACGGTTGGCTACAAACGGTGTGACAAAAGTTCTACCAAGCCTCACACAGAGACCCATAGACTTGCATAGATACCCATAGTTTGTCTTTCCCCCACACCTCCGATTAGCACAGTGAGAAATAGGTTCAACATACATGCATACAAGGCTGGGTGCAGAATTATTATATGGGACGGGGACGCTATGTTGAGAGGAAAATATTGCTGTGATGCCTGTTCTTACCTGGAAAACAAAACTTTATTATATTTACGTGAGTATGTGTGAGCTAGTTGTATGCACGTTGAACATTTTCCACACCATACGTAATCAACCGGGGTAATCAGAGGTGTGGGGGGAAGGACGACAAACTAAAACACACAAAGCAGTGCACGTAAGTAGTGTCCGAGCGATAGGGTTATGCTCACGATTGTTTGTGCAGGGTGTATTTCGACTTGTTGCTGATCTCGATGGCCACTTTGATGTTTGTGCTCATTCCAGCCAGGATGGCTTCCACAGTCTTGCCTTTGTACACCACCAATTCGGTCCCCGGCCTTGCGTGCGCCATCTGGTCGTGGCTATGCCCCTGTGTCTCTTCTTCTTCGACCTGAGGTGGGGCGAACGGGGAGAGGGGCTGGGTGCGGAGGGTGGGGAGGGGCTTAGTCGGGAGGGTGGGGCTGGGTGGGGGGTCGGAGGGGTGGGGCTGGGTGGGGAGGGGCTGGTCACCCCGTGGTGCCCTTAAAAAAACTCAACGTTTAACCTACTCACGTCGGCTTGTGCCCGCCCTCAGTCGGGCATATTTGCGGAATACACCACGCCGCCGTTGACCCTGGCCATTGACCAAGCAACCAAACGTTCCTACCAGCTCCCTCCGCGGGAATGCTTTACATAGGCTTTCGCGACCAATACCATCCATAATAGAGGTTTTTTGGGTTAGATCGCATAAATATATAAATGTGTCGTTAAACCCGCCACCACCCTGCAATGCCAACTAGTAAGGGTTGTCACGTAAAAGGAACATGCCAATTAATCACTAGTACAGCACACTGGTGTGTTGGAGAGCCAAGCCACTACATTTACAATCTGAGTACAACGTTTCACCAGTAATTACAACTGGCTTCATCAGGCGGCCGCCAGATTTGTGGAGCAGTCCACCTGTTTTATTCCTTAATTAGAGGCGTAGATGTGGTGACCACGCTTCTGCGCTCTTGCACCACGTGGGGGTGGGGGCAATGAATGAGTCAATGTACATGATACATGCACATTGTGCGAGCCCCTTTAACTTGTCCTTCCTGTCCATTGTGTGTATTAAAATAGCCGTATCAACGGTAATCCCTATTGAAGTGTAATGTGAGGATATATCCGGCTCACTGACGTATCACAACTCGTCATGATGATTGGCTCTGCCGGTCCTGGTTTACAGCCAATGGGGGGAAGCCGAGGGGTATGGCCCTGACATAATGGAAAGGTGACAGCTGTAAGGATTGGTTCTGCTAGCTTTGGCCACAGCCAATGGGGAGATGAGTCAGGGGCGTGGTCCCGGGAGCTTACGAGGGAGCCTGGAATATTCCATGGAGGCTAACGAGGATTGGCAGAAACGTACCACGTGACCCGGGTATTAAATAGGGGTGCAGACAAACGACACGTGGTCAGAACGGGAACGAACAGAGGAAGGGGGCTACGTGGCAGTGTGTCTCTCTCTCTATCTGTCCCTCTCACGCTGCCTGTCAGCAGCGTGAAGGAAAGCTGTAATACAAGTTGAATAAAAGACGGATTCCAGAAGTCGCCTCAATGAGCTTTATTACAGAAGTATGGTAGCCTGTATACGATCAGAATGATCAAAATATCGTAAATTGTGGGAGTAACTGATAAACTAGCCAGATGTTTGTAAAAACTAAAATCCGAGTCAGATTTGGCACGGTACATAAAATACAGAAATTAATATCTGGTACAAAAGCTGTATTACTGAAGCTATCAACAGAAGGTGTGTACAGCATTAACTGCACTTGTGGAAAATTGAGCAAACAGGACGAATGGTCAGCACGAGACTAAAAGAACATCAAATAAATATTAAATACTCCCAAATACAGCTGTCAGCAGGAGAAGAACACGCGTGCCAACAAGGACACTCAATTGATTTTGATAATGTTGAAGTTCTATGCAAAACTAGCTACTACTTGCCATGACTATTTAGAGAGTCTATCGAAATTGAAAGAAATACAAAATAATTTGAACCGTTCGGATAGCTACCGACTTAGTGCTGCGTGGAAGCAAATCATCAAATAATACGTCGTTTCAATGCAGGCCTATACAGGCCACCATACTTCAATAGGGATTACCGTTGGTACGGCTATTTTAATACACATAATGGACAGGAAGGACAAGATCAATGGGCTCGCATAATGCGCAAGCATAATGTACGTTGACTCATTAATCTCCCCCCACCACATCTACGCCTCTATAAAAGGAACTAAACAGGTGGACTTCTCCACAAATCTGGCTATTGACTGATGAAGCTAGTTGTAATTACTGGCGAAAAGTCGTACTCAGATTGTAAATGTTGTGGCTTGGCTTTCCAACACACTGGTGTGCTGTACTAGTGACGAATTGGCATGTTCTGTTTAGGTGACAACCCTTACTAATTGGCTGTGTCGGGTGGTGGCGGGTTTAACGACACATTTATATATTTACACGATCTAACCCAAAACACCTCTATTATGGCTGCTATATAGATCTTTTTTTCAGTGACCTGCTCCTCACAAATGATATCTCAACGAAGTGGCTTATCACGTGGAAATTTAAAGCAGCAAAATATTCTAAACGCCGTGATGTTGACTCTAAATGTGGAGGTAAAAAACCGGAGAAAAATTCACACAACCACGGGGGGCAGAGAGACGCAAACTCCAACTATAGAGAAGGCCTTAGGGTCTGGGCATCGAAGCGACGACCTCCTGTATACCAGGCAAGGTAGTTAACATCTCCTAGCCACCATGGCACGCTAAGTACGCTTTCATCCAGCATTTGATCAACAAAAGGGGATGTAGCTTGTTACGAATGTACTTACATTGAGGTCTGTAAGGGGCTCGAAAACCAAAATGATAAGAGCCATTTTTTTTATTTGGAAAAAAACGCCTCAATATTTCAAGAGCCGCTATGCATGTCAACACGAAGACGGTGGTCCTTCATACATAACATCACGAATCAATCCTTAATGAGAACCGCGGATTACCGACCCCCTGAGTTATCGCCAAATAGACAGTCTCTTAAGGAGATATATCTTAGCAATAAGTATTTCCCCTTTTTTCTGGCAACAAAACCAGGTTTTAAGTTGTAAAAATACCAAACTGTAACCTTTTTATGAGGATCCATGTCTGCATTAACCACAATACTTGTGGTCAGAATGCAAACAAAAAACATACTCTGATAATATGATGCATTATCCTTGAAACTGATTGATCTATCTTACATAGTCACTTGCAGTCTCACACCTTGACCCACAGGCTCACACCGATACCCACAGACCCACGGGCTCACACGGAGCCCCATGGACACAAGTCATCAAAGTGAAACTTCACTGAGTTCAAATTAAAAGTGATTCTGCTTCTTTATTTCAATTTCTATTCGATGTAAAAAAAACGATTGTCACACTGTTGTATATGTTGGGTTAAGAAAATTTGTTATGTTGTATGCGTGCGTGGGTGAAATTATTATGTTGTACCTGTGTGTTATGAATATTCAGTGAAAATAATAATTATTAAATGAAATCTGGCCAAATGTGTAATTATCCGGAAATATGTTAATTTATGTAATTACGCACATTTTAATTATGCCAATTCGAGAGGTAATCGGATTAATTATGCGAGTGGGTGTAATTATGATAATACAAGTCGTTGTGATAACCAGACCCCGCCTCGGTGACGAGGGTGGGTTATCGATCGGAAGAAGGCAATTAATCGTATGCAGTTATGCAGGTGTGGTGTAAGTATGCAAGATTAACTTAGATTAACTCGGCATCGTTGTCTAGGTTCGTCTCATTCTCGCTTTAACATTCCCAGAGTTTTATTCGTGGTTATATTTTTAGGTCCCCGGTTCACCCCGTTATCGCTTTAACATTTACTGAGTATGTATTAGTGTGTTTATTAAGGTCACCAAGTTCAAATCTCAACGCAGAAGCAGATCTTATGCATAGATTTCAGGAAAGAATCACACAACCACTTCTGTATTAATCAATTTATTACTAATTCAACCTTAACTATGATATAATATGCGAACTCTCAATCCCGGAACGTCAACACGGCATCAATACAGTATCATCAACGATTGTCTGATTTCACTTTGACAACTGCACATGGATCCCGCATAACGCGATGGTTGTTAGGGAGAGAGAGAGTCGTTAAAACACGCAAATACTATGCTAAGAAAACCTTAATGTTAATGAATGATTATACTCAATATTGTTCATAACGCGATGGTTGTTAGTGAGAGAGAGAGTCGTTGAAATATGCAAATACTATGCTAAGAAAACCTTAATGTTAATGAATGATTATACTCAATATTGTTCATAACGCGATGGTTGTTAGTGAGAGAAAGAGTCGTTGAAATATGCAAATACTATGCTAAGAAAACCTTAATGTTAATGAATGATTATACTCAATATTGTTCATAACGCGATGGTTGTTAGTGAGAGAGAGAGTCGTTGAAATATGCAAATACTATGCTAAGAAAACCTTAACACTAATGAATGATTATACTCAATATTGTTCACGCAGTACCACACTCCTTATTGACCATACGCAACCCTTATCACGTTGTTAACACCTTGGGTCACGGGACAGTTGAATATTCTGTAGAGGATGCGAGTACGTGCGGCGATTATGACTGAAAGATACTTGAAAGATTATACGGCGATAAAAAAAACACAATCAAAAACAGTTATTATTCTTAAAGGCACCAATCTCAACAGATACATCGGCAGGTTATCTGACAACAGAACGGCTCGGAGTAAGGGCCTGCGACGGTGCTCCTTTTCCGAAGCTCGTTATCTTATACCAAGTTTACTAATTGGGGACCAGATCACCTGATAAGGATCCGGTGGGCCACCACTCCCCACGTGAGCGTGGCTCGGCGGAAGGAGGTGCCAAGAATCAGTTCGTATTGATGGATCTGTTGGGAATTTATGCGATTAAGAGTACAGCCCACTAAATATTAAAGATAAAAATTAAGAATACTCTTATAAACGACGGAGGGCCATCACTCGGTCTCGTTGCGATGCTTTCCAGCCACGGATGGCTTATGGGTTCGAGTGTTTTTGAGTGGTAAGAGTTGTCTTGAATAGTCAGTGTTCGGAGTCGATTCTTTAGGTCAAACAGACGCCTGGTGGTCGTGTGGTGAGGGGGCGGTGCGCGTCATACGTATCAGTTGATCCCCTGTCACCGTGGCGAACTGGTTCGGATGCCCGTTGATACGCTGTCGCAGTTCGGAACCCGGTCGGTAGGTGGCGCCCACAACTCGCTCGTAGCGTGCAGCTCTGGGTTGTCGCCGATCCGCGATGCTCACCACTCCGGTGGCAGCAGAGACCCCCGATTCGGCAGAGGTTGACGAGCTGAAGATGAGTCGAGCCGACCCGCTGGTCGC